GGCCGCGATAGGGCGGCGACGGGGCCGCAAGAGGGCGGCGACGGGGCCGCGATAGGGCGGCGACGGGGCCGCGATAGGGCGGCGACGGGGCCGTGGAGGAGGGGCCGCTGAGGGCGGCGCGACGCGCCGCTAGGAGGGCGGCACACAGGGCGCGCCCCGGTCAGGAGCGACTCGATCTCAGGGCAGGAAAAAAAAAAAAATCGATGTTCAGTGGTGGGCCCTAGGAAGTTCCCATGAGGGAACCTGCTCTATACCATGTTGGGTACAAGTAGGAAACCATAGGAAACTGTACCCCATAGTGTCAACCCCACTATTGCCTACACAAGCTATATAATATGAGTTTGACAGACACCTCCATGCTCCGCGTGTGGGGGTGCATGGTGCAATACCGCCCGCCTACGTCAAGCATCGGCAAATTCGCGAGTTGGGGCATTCACCTCGGCATCAGCCACGAGCACAAGGCGTGGATCGTGCTGGACTTACTCAGTCAGAAGACCGCCCACGCTCACGATGTCATTTTCTATGAACACCTCTTCCTTGAGCAGTTCCGCCACGACGAGCAGACAAATGCGAACCGTGTCTACGCGAACGACGGGTACAACTATGCATCGCCCGAAGACGAAGCTGCCGCATCAATCTTGGAGCAAGACACCTGGGGCGAGTTCACGAGAGGTGATCGCCACAGCAGCGACGATAACAACGATTCCTCTGGAGGAGGAATGGGTGAAGCGGCAGAGGCGCAGCTCCACTAGCACCTGAGCCAGAGAGCGATGACGACGACGTACAGGAAGTCATCCCGCAGCATCGCCACGACAGCACCGTCTCTAGGCTGCAGCTACTTAGGCTACACACCGCAACCTCAAAGGCGCCATGTGTCATCGAACCACGAAACCCGCGCCAAGCTCTCACCGAACCATACAGCAAGGAGTGGCGCGAGGTAATGGACGCGGAAATTAAGGCGCTCGAGTCCGGTGACACCTGGGTTTTAGTCGACTGCGCAGCAATCAAAGGTGCAAGAGTCCTTTCGGGCAAGTGGGTCTTCCGTGTGAAGACTAAAGCAGACGGAACAATCAAACGGTTTAAGGCACGCTGGGTGGTGCGTGGCTATGACCAGAGGCATGGCATCGACTTCGACCAGACTTTTGCTCTGGTCAGCCGCCACACCTTCGTCCGAACCTTGCTCGCCATCGCAGCCGCAAGACATCTGCCTCTCCACCAAATCGACGTGAAGAACGCATTCCTGTACGCGTTAGTAGACGCCGTGATCTACGTGGGGCATCCGCATGCATACGGCGAGGGGGATTCGCGCGTATGCGAGCTGCGCAAATCCCTTGACGGGATAAAACAGGCACCAAGGCCCCTGCAGCAGTATCTGCACAGCATTCTGCTCGAAATCGGGTTCAAGCAGATGCCTCACGATCCTGGGATGTACCGCCGTGATTTCTGCGACGAATACATCCTACTCACAGTCTACGTCGACGACCTGCTTTACACAGGATCGAGTAAAGAACTAATGCAGCAGTTCAAGCGGAGTCTGGTGGGGCGCGTCGATATCACCTGCAACTACGAGGTGAAGCAGTTCTTAGGCCTGAACATCTCCTACGCGCCAGAAGCCATTCACCTCTCAGCGGCTAAGTATGCAGAGAAGCTCGGGAAGCGCTTCAACATCTCCCCTGCACCACTCTCTACTCCCTACCGAACTCCCAGACCGAACCACAAACCTGACAACAAATCCTATCCCCCACTGGCATCCAAACTTATCAGCAGCAGCTGGGATGCCTTCTCTTCGCCTCTGTCACCTGCAGGCCCGACCTCTCCTACATCGCGAGCCAACTGGCTCAGTATTCCCGCAAACCAACGGCTGAGAACCTTCTGGACCTACAACGCGCCTTGCAGTTTTCATTTCAACGCCCAAGATTGGGCTGTGCTACTCAACAATACCCACCTCATCGTTCAGCCTCATCGGCTACGTGGACGCCGATCACGCAGCAGATCCTGACAATCGACAGTCCAGGACTGGCTTTCTATTCCGGCTCGAACCAACAGGACCAATCTCATGGAACTCACAGAAACAGGAGCTGGTTGCCCTATCGTCGGCCGAAGCAGAATTCATCGCAGCAACAGCAGCAGTTCGCGAAGGCCTCTATTTACAGGAGCTTCTGCAGGAGGCGAAAATTCCAGCTTCGCCCACCTTTCGCCTTCACTGTGACAACCAGAGCGCGATTCGCATCGTGAACAAACCTGGTTTCGTCAATTGAACCAAGCACATTGCGTTGCGGTATTTCTTTGTCAAGGACGAAGTGGACAAAGGCAAGGTTGACTTGGTCTACTGCCCGACAGGTGACATGGTAGCAGACTTCCTCACGAAGCGACTGCCACGCCACCAGTACCAGCACTGCTCCGAACTCAGCGGAGTAGTCAAGCAGGCCAAGTCGAGCTACGGCCAGGAGTGAAGGGAGGTGTTACGAATAGTAATGTATGAACATTACTGTGCACTCCTCACCGCAATTAAGGAAGAGCGCAGTAACGAGAACGAATGCGAGGAGTCAGAATTAACTCGAAACGTCAGACGGTTGGGGTAGACCTGGACCGTTGGAGCAGACGGCATCAGGCAGATGCTGTAAGGAGGAATTGGGCGGGAACGGTTTCGTAACTGCACGTGCCGCACGGTTGGGAATGAATTTGAATAAGGGAATGTACCCCTTAGACTACATGGCTAGCTAGGTCGATTCGAATTCCCTGTACTCATATTTATATCCTTGTATTTGCATGTTTCAAATCATCTCAAAGCATTGCATATTCACTCTGCTATTGAGGTCAAGGGCCCACCAATACTACCTAGCTGTCTGAGAACCTTCCCGAGGTGATCCTAGCTTCGATGAACTTTTGATCGCAACACCAACCACTAGATCATTGGGATAAAAGGGCTTGTAAAGTAGCGGGTCAGTGCGCCCATAACCCCCCAGGCCATCATGCCTATAACCCTTCCCTAGGATCAATCGGGGATCACCAGTGGACCTCTGACAATTTGTGTCTTATAATCGAAACTGCAATATATTTTAGTGAAACTTGAAATACTGTTTACATTTTTACCCTTGCGATGCGCGAATTCTTCCACGTCCTGACTTAGGTACTACCAAATGTGCATATGCAAGTGTTCTCCTTGACGTGGCTTGCCGAACAATGGTTGTTGAAATGGCATGGCACTTACGCAACTTCCACACTCATTATGAGAAACTATTTTGAAGATGTGTGAAAATATTTCTTAGTTTAAAAAGCTTCCATTTAAAAAGACTCATAAGACACCCAAAACCTCCCCAAATACAAGATAACCCAGGCATTTTTTTTAGTGTACGAGATAAGACATATATGTCTTATATCCGGGCTATGACGGTACCAACACACAGCAAAGCGAGGCAGAGGAGGAGAAAAAGGAGACACCATCCTCAGAAGTTCATTCCTAATCTCGAACCCCTGGTATCGTCCCCATACACCCTCTCCCCTCCCCCACCCCTCAACCTGCCCGCTTCCCAGCTCTCCGATCCCCGCTCACCCCCACACGCTGCCCCATTCATGCTCAGAGGTTCATTCCCCATCTCAAACCCCTGGTATCATCCCCATAGACCCTCGCATCTCCAAACACCCTCTCCCCTCCCCCACCCCTCCACCTGCCCCCTCCCCCACCCGCAGCTCCCCCCTCCCCTCCACGCACTGCCCCTGCATTATCCTGTGTACCGAAGAGGCTTGTAAAGGGGATGGAGCGGGCAGGGCCGGCGGGGAGGACAGAGGCTGCTGTGAGGACAGCGTGGCGGTAGATGAGGGAGAGGTAGAAGGCGAGGCAGAGGAGGAGGAGCAAGTCGTCTAAGAGACCCACGATCCCCATGGCAACTGAAAGGGGGACAGGGAAGAAGTAGGACAGACACATGAATGAGAAAGGGCACGGTGGTGGATGAGGAAGAGATACAAGGCGAGGCAGAGGAGTCGTCTAGTAAACCGACAAGTCCCTGGCGACTGGAATGACAACACGTAGGGCAGGTAGGGGAGCAGGGAGGAGAAGGGGCGGGCACACATGGGTGAGAAAGAGCACAGCGTGGCGGTAGATGAGGAGAGGTAGAAGGCGAGGCAGAGGAGGAGGAGCAGGTCGTCTAAGAGACCGACGATTCCCATGGCGACTGGAAGGGAGAAATAATAAGGGGACACAAAGCACAGCCATATGGGTGAGAAAGAGCACAGCGTGGCGGTAGATGAGGGAGAGGTAGAAGGCGAGGCAGAGGAGGAGGAGCAGGTCGTCTAAGAGACCCACGATTCCCATGGCGACTGGAAGGGAGAAATAATAAGGGGACACAAAGCACAGCCATATGGGTGAGAAAGAGCACAGCGTGGCGGTAGATGAGGGAGAGGTAGAAGGCGAGGCAGAGGAGGAGGAGCAGGTCGTCTAAGAGACCCACGATTCCCATGGCGACTGGAAGGGAGAAATAATAAGGGGACACAAAGCACAGCCATATGGGTGAGAAAGAGCACAGCGTGGCGGTAGATGAGGGAGAGGTAGAAGGCGAGGCAGAGGAGGAGGAGCAGGTCGTCTAAGAGACCCACGATTCCCATGGCGACTGGAGGAAAAGAGGGAGCAGAGGGAGAACAAGGAGGAGAGAAGGCACGGGAAAGGGCAGACACACAGGTGAGAAGGGTGGCAGTAGATAAGGCAGAGGAGGAGGAGCAAGTCGTCTAAGAGACCCACGATTCCCATGGCGACTGGAAGGACGAGAGAACAAGGGGAGACAAAGCACAGGCGTATGGGTGAGAAAGAGCACAGCGTGGCGGTAGATGAGGGAGAGGTGGAAGGCGAGGCAGAGGAGGAGGAGGAGCAGATCGTCTGACTGAAATGAGGAGCAGGGGGGGCAGGAAAATTAACGAAACAGATTTCTATCCCTTGCTTTTTCCCCCTTCCTTTTGATTAATGTTAATAAAAAGGGGACATGCAATGAATGCACGGCATCACTTACATTCTGGTATGAGGTCAAATGGTGACAGAACATACACGAAAACAATAGCCACCTGCAGATGTGATTATAACGGGGATATGGGGGGAATCAGTTATGAACACTGAAAATGGTGGCATTTATGGAAGGGTTGAGCACACATTGCAATTACCGTGGGGGGTGAGATGTCATGAGATGTAATAAAAGAAATGAAGCGACATAAACGAGCACAGCGGCCACCTGCGTTAGAAGAGCATCATGTATGATACGAGAGCGAAATCAGTTGGAAACGGAGAAAGCCTGTGCGAACTTTGAACGTAAAAGGTCCAGAGGAAGAATGCACTCACACAGAACACCATTCGAGCGTTGTGTAGCAAGCGGAGGGCCCTCAGTGGATCGGAGAGGTCTAGCAAGGCATGCTTGCACAGATTGACTCGCAACCACAGACGGACACACATCCTAGCCCCGTTCTACTCACACAGAACACCATTCGCGCGTTGTGTAGCAAGAGGAGGGCCCTCAGCGGGTCAGTCAGGTCCCGAACGAGTCGAGAGAGGAGCAGAGGCATGTCCAGGATGCGCTGCAGTGGTGACGAGGGGTGGGAAGTGGTGGGGGGAGGTAGGGAGAGGTGGAGAGAGGTGGAGAGAGGTGGACGGAGGGAGTTAAAAACAGCCAAGTGGAGAGCTCTTAGCGGGTCGGTCAGGTCGCGAACGAGTCGAAAGAGGAGCAGAGGCATGCCCAGGATGCGCTGGTGGGTGGTGAGGAGGGGTGGGAGAAGGTAGGGAGAGGTAGGGAGAGGTGGGGAGAGGTGGAGGGAGGTGGAGAGAGGTGGAGAGAGGTGGAGGGAGGGAGTTAAAAACAGGCAAGCGAAGAGCTCTTAGCGAGTTAGAGAGGTCGCGACCGAGTCGAGAGAGGAGCAGAGGCATGTCCAGGAAGCGCTGCAGGGTGGTGACGAGGGGTGGGAAGTGGTGGGGAGAGGAGGGGAGAGTGAGTTAGTAACAGGCATGAGGAGAGCTCTTAGCAGGTCGGAGAGGTTACCAGAAACGAGGCAGGAAGCTGTGAGATACAGACTCACCACCATGCTACACACCTGTAACAGCGGGTGTAACACCACCAGGAGTATCCTACATGCCACAGTGACACAGGCACCCCTCCCAAGAGCCGGTTGTAGCGAGCCACCTCCCTCAGCAAACTCACATTACATGCTTGTCACACACATGTGACGGCAACGCTAGCTACCACAGCACTGCTGCCTGCCACACCCCTACCTGCCACAGCGACACTGGCACCCCTCCAAAGAGCCGGTTGTAGCGCGCCACCTCCCTCAGGAGCTCAAGAGAATGCTCCGGAGAGAGAGGCTGGGCGCCGTCAGAAAGACGGTCAGGGTCTGATGGCTCAGGAGCAGCAGTGCGGCCTGTTGATGGTACAACGTTCGGATTCCCTGCTTCCGCTGCTGCTGATTCCGGTGGGCGGTGGTACTGCTGCTGCTCCTCCTCCTCCTCCTCCTCCACCTGCTGCTGCTGCTGCTGCTGCTGCTGCTGAGAAGCTTCAGAACTGGAGGAGGGAGAAGGCCTAAGCGACTCTCTCTGCTGAGTCTCCACGGGTTTAGAAGAAACTGCTCCTTGCGATTCCGTTCGCTGCTCCAAAGAGGGTCTAGCTCGATCAGGTGTAGAAAGGGTACAAGTCGCCCTTTGCTGGTCATCCAAAGCAGGTGCGGGTGGATCAGGGGAGGGCATTGGTTGTGTGGCTGGGTGGGCGGGCGGCGATGTTTGGACGGAGTGGGAGGGGAGGAGGAGAGTGATGGTGCGGCGACAGATGGGGCACTTGCAGGGGACGAGAGCCGAGCTGTGATGCCACACCCTCAGGATGCACTCCGCTGGGAGAGATGTGTATGTGCACACAAGGGGGAGATGGGTTCATATGAGGCCGACGGGGCACTTGCAGGGGACGAGGCATGGGGCACAGATGGAGCACTTGCAGGGGACCAAGGCGGAGCTGTGATGCCACACCCTCAGAATGCACTCCGCTGTTGGAGACGGGTACATTTCACACATGGGGGGGAAGAGATGGGTATGCGGGAGATGGGTTAGTATGAGGGAGATGGGGCACTTGCAGGGGATGAGCGCCGAGCTGTGATGCCACACCCTCAGGATGCACTCCGCTGGGGGGAGCATGGCAGATGGGGAGAAGATGGGGGGAAGATGGAGATGGGGGGGAAGGACAGAGGGAAGGACGGGGCCCATATGAGGGGTGGGCGAACAAGAAATGAGTACTTGCAGAGCTGTGATGCCACACCGTCAGGATGCACTCCGCTGGGTAAGATGAGACATGGGGAGCAAAAACGAGGGAATTGATATGTGAGCCCCAAGACCATCGCTGCCCTGACTGTTGAACAGAGTTGACCAGCGTTGACCAGAGTTGACTCACCACAGAACCAGTGGCCGCAGTTGGCTTGGGTGGGCAGGGCAAAGGCCTCGTGGCACACACAGCACATCTCGCCCTCTGGTGACCTTGATTCCAGATGTCTCAGATTTGACCAAAGTTGACCAGCGTTGACCAGAGTTGACTCACCACAGAACCAGTGGCCGCAGTTGGCCTGGGTGGGCAGGGCGAAGGCATCGTGGCACACGCAGCACATCTCGCCCTCTGGTGGCCTGGGCTCCGACCCCCCTGCCATTTCTCCTGCTCCTGATCCTCCTGCTTCTTCTGCTCTTGCTGTTGTTGCTGCTCTTGCCGCTGCTGCTTCTCCTGCTCTTGCTGTTGTTGCTGCTCTTGCTGCTGCTGTGTCTGCTGCTGCTGCTGCTGCTGCTCCAATGCCTTCTTCCGGAACAACTCCACTTGCCGAACCAAATCCTCTTGCCAGACCAATTCCACTTGCCGAACCAAATCCACTTGCCGGACCAAATCCACTTGCCGGACCAACTCCTCCCGAACCAGTAGCACCAGCAGTAGCTGTGGCAGCAGCAGCAGTAGTACCAGAAGGGATCGCAGTTTCATCAAGGTTCTGGCTGCTGCTGATGCTTCTAATGGAGTGGAGTGGCGTGGAATGGAACAAGGAGAGGAGTGACACCCTGACGGGAGGAAAAGTGGGGAGGAGTGGGGAAGGAGGGTCGGTGGAGAGCCGAGGGGAAAAAAAAGAGTTGGAGTAGGGCGAATAAGGAAAGGTGAAGGATTCTGCCGCTGTTACCACGAGGAAAGTCTCAGAAGACGGGTTGGAGATACACCGTACTGAAAACAGAATCTTCGTTGAAACTGGTTATAAAAAAAGGGGGTAGACGCGCCATTTGAACTCGTCAAACTCTGATGAGACCGTTCCAAAGAAAAAAAGAAAAAAATATATTTATTTATTTAACAAATATTGAAAGCAGCCTCTTCACGGGACCGGCAGAGCCGGGGTAAACATATAGAAAGGACAAACCTTAAGTGTGGAGAGTAACGCAGCAGCCAGAGCGGGATACTGAAGACCGCGATTAACGCGTACAGCACCTCGTCACCCACGCCATGCACCAGCGGCATCAGCGCAGCACGATGATAAGACTACCCTTCTACTATTCCGCCGTGGGCTGATCTAGGTACCTTAAACACGAGGAGGAGAACTGGGCCCTACTAATAGCCTCGCCGAAGGCCAGTAATCTCGAACGACGGATTGCGCTTGGAATAAGAACAAAACAAGAATGACCTAGATATGCCCGCAAACGAAAGGACAAGCTGGTCTGCTAGTACACGAAGATTATTCGACTAATTTGAGCGTGGTTGTAACCGTCTACCACTTTTATTGTTAGTCATGAATCCGCTTCACCAAACTTTGCGCGTCCAGAAAAGGACAGCGAGGAGTGGCCACTACTGGGTAAGAAACGCTAGCCTTTCAAGGATTTTATTTTTTCTTCAGGCAATGCGACGATGCGGGGAAGCACTCTAAATGCACGTTCAAGACGTCAGCCTCCGAATCTAGACTGCTCGCGTCGCGTGCAGACACCTCTAAAGCGTCACCAGCCTCAGGGACTTAGGAATGCACAGAAATTTAGTGAGCCAGGGGGAACAGTCGAGCGCGCTCGTTTATGCTCGGTTTGGCGCATTCGAAACCGGTATTAGGGATGTTACCATTGCAAATATACGTGTCTTGTATGTTCCATGGGTGCTAGTTTGTTTCCCAGCGGTGCAAAACGGTACATCTCAAAACTCGTTTCCCACCATGTGGGAAGGGGATGCCCCACATCTTGATGGCGTTTTCCGTTTGCGATTGCGATGGGTGGGTGGGTGCAACTCTGTCTAGCCAGGGTGACCTTGCCGATTTCGAGTAACGCCGGCGAAATGAATCCAATTCGCGCACTCTCGCACTCAATTTTCTGGCAACGTCCAGGTTCGTGGTCCAATGGCACTCGCCGAATCAACCTTCTGGCCTGGAAAACCTGTTTTACACCTCTCCCTGGCCACTGTTTTCCAGCTTGTTTCTGGAAAACCAGACTTCACTCCACCACACACCACCTCACGAGGAAACTGACGCTGCGGTATTGCAGTCCATTTCCCTGTTAGCTCCTTATTCAAGGGCCCTCTTCGGTAGCCCCCACAGTCACACTGCGGTTGGTGCAGGTGCTCTTCCTCGGCCCAATTTCGACTCACCTTAAAGCCCACCGAACCGTTATTAGGACACCATACCTGCCCAGTGCAAATTGGCTATTGAACGCGTGAAAACCCCAGTCCGAGTGAAGTTGAGGACGCTACCACGAAAATGCTTGCTCAGGCAAGCTCGACTGCCAGTGAAAGTCAACCCCATTTCTGCTTTCCAGTTCCACTGAGGCAGGCCCGCTATGAGTGGCACGCTGTAGGGTAAACGCTGCATTAGTTTCGAATCGGGTCAAATTATGTTTTTCAGCTCGCTCGTTCAAATGATGAGAGATCGTGCCCGTTCGTGATTTTCTTTTATCCATATCGAGGGTGTTTCATTTGGCGGGTTGTTTTTTGTTTGGGAGTTGGGCAGCCTCGTACAGAAGTAAAAGTTTCGACCAGTAATTTCTCGAGAAACACACGGTAACTTCTTGCATTTGTGGACGAGACTTTCTTTCAGTGTGAGTGGACGCTCGAGGCTACGAAACATGTCGTAGGCTTCCCCAGTTCGAGTGGGCCCAGTGTGACTGGAAGGCTACCGAACAGGGCCAAGGTGTCTTGAAATATGGATGTCTCAGATGTTGGAGAATCGAGTCTCTGCCGCCCCAGCCCTTTGCACACAAGGAGCAGCAAGAATGTCGGCGACGGATTGAAGGCTTCGCGAAAATTCAGAAACTTCCGCAGCAAATCAGATTGCAGCCGAAGACTCGATACAGTTCGGGATTGCTCTGAAACAGAAGGGTCGACAGTTTCTACAGGTTTCTACAAAACAGAATCAGCTATAACAGTACATTCCATAGATTTCTTATTCATGCACCTCATGTGGCTCTCAAGTCACTCAAGGTTCATGGAATCTGAATTGTGCCCAAGTTCCCAAGGAAGTTGCCTTGTCTAGCAGCCTAGTTTGAGCTATCAATCTGCATGTTTGTAATGCTTAAGAAGTTGTGCTTTAGTGGGCTTGTTAATCTTGATCATAATGAAGTTTTCTCTCATCAAGCCAAGTCCAGCAGCTATGTTGAGCTTTTCCAGCCAAGTTTCCAGCCTACCAGTCATCAAAGCTACTCTGTTTTGCAAGTTGGTATCAGAGCACGTCGTTTCGATCAACCGAGCGCCACCACCTTCCTATCCTAGCACAATCCATCCATGGCGGGAGACAACCCATCTGGCCCTGCACTCCAGCCAGCCGGAGGAGCTTCAGAGTCAACATCAGGAGCTACTGGATTAGTGGAAGAAGTTGCACCAGGCAGTTCTTCAACTACATACTCACCACTCACCTCCTTCATGCCTAAGCTTCACCTCCCCAAATTCAACGGCAAAGATTTTCCAACATGGGCAACTCAGTTTGAGCTCACTGCATCCCTTCTGGATCTCTGGCCTTACTACACTGGAGAAGCAGCCAAACCAGCAGCAGATGCTTCAGAAGCTGAAAAACGACTCTACGAACGGCGCAACAAGGAGGCCTTCCTCTACCTACTCAATAGCATTCACGAGCAGCAGTTGAAGTCGCTCCTACCCTGCTCTACAAAGGCAAACAGCGCAGAGGAAGCATGGAGCCGACTGAAGTCTATGCACCAGTCAAAATCGGAGAGCAGCCAGGCCGAGATGTGGAGCCGCTTCATGAGTCTCAAGATGGAAGAAGAAGAACCAGCCCAAACCAACCTTCAACGAGCTGAAACGATGCTAGAGGAAGCAGCCGCGATCGGCTTGGAGATTCCAGAGTCTCTTTTCAAGACCGTCATCCTCACCGGCCTTACACCGGAGTGGGACACTTTCCGTGCAACACTACAAACACTTCCGCAATCAATGAAGACCCGTGCGTTCATCTTCGAAGCCCTTGTCAACGAGCAGCAAAGTCGAGACCTTGCACGAAACAAGCCGAGTGACGAGGGTGCGTGGAGTGCTGCAGCAGCTACAAGATATGGCAACCAATCCCAGAGGCAAGGAAATTTCAGCCCAAACCGCCCTCAACCTTACTATGGTACGAATTTTCAGTCACCTTCCAACCCATACAAACCCTCTCGTTTTGCTCAGTCAAGTCCTCCCTATAAGTCAAGTCCCTATGTCCAGCCAAGGCCTTCTATTCCCAATCAATATCAGCCTAGGAATGCACGAGTCTATACGCCAAGAGTCAATAATTTCAGCCAAGCCTCAAATGCTAAGAAGTTTAATTTCGAGTGTTTTTGTTGTTATGAGTGGGGTCATCCGTGGTATGCTTGTCCTAAGAAGCCTCCTAATTGGGTTCCTCCACCTCAGCTATTATCCGAAAAGGGTAAGGCAGCCATAGCAAACATGGCAAGTCATTCTACAAGTCAAAATGAGTCCAAAGATTCTGAAGGTCCTGTCCTTTTCAACGCCGCCACTTGCATGCACGTTTTTTCTACTAGTAGTGAGGAGTTTATCCTTGATAGTGGCTGTTCTGAAACCATGACTCCCTATCAGTCCATTCTCAAGGATTTTCAGCCCTCATATGACTCAAAAGCTGTGACACTTGCTGATCTTGGCAAAGTACCTATCAAAGGAGTCGGCAAGCTTGAGTTCGAAAAGGATGGTAAGTCATTTTGTGTCAATAAAGCTTTGTTTGTTCCTGATTTGGGAGCAAACTTGCTCTCAGCTGGACAACTTGAAGAGAAAGGTGCCTCTGTACTATTGCAAGGGGGGAAAGCTAAAGTGTGGGACAGTGCAAGAAATTTGGTGGCTGAAGGCGAGCGTACTGGGCGGCTCTACAAGATGAAGTTGGAGATCAAGCGCGGTTCTAACAATACGAAGAACGACGTTGTCTCGCTTCCCGCTGTTTCAACCAACAAAGGGGGTATCTCCCAAGCTGAGGTATGGCATGCACGCTTGGGGCACTTGGGAATGCAAGCATTGAAAGAGTTGGTGAATCACAAGAGCGTGGAAGGATTGAGTTTGAGTAAAATTGCAGTCAAGTCCCTTTCTTCCGTTCCATGTCCATCTTGTGTTGAGGGTAAGCTAGCTAGAAAGCCATTTTTCCCTTCTAAGTCTCAGTCAAGGGACCTCCTAGAGTTGGTCCACACTGATGTATTTGGCCCCATGCGAGACCCTACTCGAAACGGTAAGAGATATTTGGTGTCTTTCTTTGATGACAAGAGTCGTTTCTTGTGGTCATTTTTCATCAACACCTAGGATGAAGTTCACAAGTGTTTCAAGCAATGGCTAGCACTTGTTGAGAGAGTGTCAGGGAAGAATTTACTCACCTTGAGGTCGGACCGAGCAGGTGAGTACATGGGAAAAGCATTTCAGGGGGAGTTGTTGGGCATCAAACAACAGTTCACTTGTCCCTATAGTCCTCAGCAAAATGGAGTTGCAGAGAGGTTTCATCGCACTATTCAAGCAATAGCTACCACTTTTTTTCAGTTTAAGGGCCTTGACAAGCTCTGGTGGGGTGAGGCAATCACTATGGCAATCTATGTTCGCAACATGAGACCCACAAGGCCCCTACCAGATGGTGTAACGCCATATGAGGCTTGGTTTGGAGTTAAACCAGATCTGTCTATGCTTCGTGTTTTTGGTTCCATGACCCAATACCGTGTTCCAGATGCAAAGAGAGTCAAGCTGGACAGCAGAGCTCATTGGGGCCTCTTCATCGGCATGAGCAACGAGAGCAAGGGATGGGTCCTTTGGGATCCCGTCACCAAGCGAGAAGTGGTTTCAAGGGATGTGGTCTTCTATGAAGACATGTCCCTTGCAGATTGGCACAAGTTTTCCTCTTCCTCCTCTCTACCACCCTCTCTCCAACAGGAACCAGCAAGAGCACCTGAGGAAACAACACAAGAGGAGGACGGAGATGACACCAATTCTGACCATAGCGGACCCATCATCGATCTCCCGCAAGCCGTCGTCAACGAGACCAGCTGCGCTACACCAGTGCCACCAGCAGCTACTCAACCAAGTGGAGATGTGGTTCAGCCGTCAAATGAAGACAATCCACCCCAAGAAGTCACCGTTACATCACTGCCAAAGGAGCAGCAGCCAACCGTCACCAACCAGCCAGCTACTTCAACACCAACCCCGCAAGTTCAACGTCACCCGGATCAGCCCACCACTACACCATCAAACCCATCACCAGCCGTCAATTCAGAGGCAACTACAGAAGCTCAGCATCATCCAATGCAGCAGCAACCTACAGCGACAAGACTCCAAGTACCTACATCAGCACCATCTACAATTCTTCCTACCAACAAGACAACCATTACCACAACATCTCGTTCTCACACACGTTCATCACTTCAGGTTCCAACGTCAAGCCAGCTCATAGCACGAGGATCACTTCAGCGAATCACCACCAACACCAGCTCCAACAGCCCACTTCTTCACCCAAGACCTTTCTCAACTTCACCCCCACATCCCGGAATCGGCCGTCATCAGTTACCGCCATCTTCAACACCGAGAAACAGCGCCAATCAGACCGAACCGTCTCCAACTTTCGACAACGCAGCGTCATCATCAATTCCCAAGCTTCTAGTCTCAAGATCCCCACCAAGAGAATCTTCACAACCAACTATGCCGACGAACATTTCAGCTTCACCGACACAAGTCACCACACCTATTCCTCAAGTCAACACCGATAATCGAGAGAGTTCCACGCCGGGAGAAGATCATGCAGTCGTGCCGCCGTCGCAGCCGATGTCGCAGCCATTATCTCAGCCGCAGATGACCGTGTCAACGCATCCAACCACTGTGAGACCGAACCCTACCATTGATTTGTCTCAGCCAAGTGAGGCTTTGGGTAAAGGTAAACGAGTCCGCAAGGTAAAAAAGCCCTTCACATTCATGGTTGACATGTCATCAAGGTGCACATGTGAGGAGAGCGAGGATTGCATTCACAAGAACGTAGAGGCAATATGCATGGCAGCGTCACACCTTCCACGAGAGCCATTGAGTCGTCGTGAGGCAGTGGCAAGTCCCGAGAGAGAGCAATGGTTGAAGGCCGAGGAAGAAGAGATTGAGAGTCTCATGAAGAGAGGTACATGGCGTCTTGTTGAGCCACCTCCAGGGAAGAAGGTAATTGGTGTCAAGTGGGTGTACAAGATTAAGGTAAAAGGTGATGGTACACTTGATAGGTACAAGGCAAGGTTAGTGGCAAAAGGTTATTCCCAAATTCCAGGTCTAGACTTCACCGAAACCTTTGCCGCAGTAGCGAAGTACACCACGGTACGAGTCCTCATCGCCATAGCCGCATATCTTGGTCTCCATATCCATCAAATGGATGTCAAGAACGCATTTCTCTACGGTGTCTTGGAAGAAGAGGTATACATGGCACAACCCGAAGGTTATGATGATGGTACGGGTCGAGTTTGTCGCTTGGTAAAGTCCCTTTATGGTCTCAAACAGTCCCCACGGGTATGGTATCATGCTCTTGAGAAGGTACTCTTCAAGCACGGTTTCACAAGGTCCATGAGAGACAACGCGTTGTACTTCATGCACACGAGTGAGGTGGGAGTAAATTTGGCTCTTGGTATATGTCGATGATCTCCTCCTAGTCTCAGGTTCTCTTGATCTCCTCAACAAGGTGAAAGGTATTCTCATGAGTGCATTCACAATGACCGATCTTGGTGAGCCGAGTCATTATCTTGGTATGAACATTGTGAGAGATCATAAGTCACGGTCCATCTTCCTATTACAGCAAAGGTACATCCAAAAGGTCCTTGAGATGTTTGGTCTTGATGATAGCAAGCCATCACCTACCCCACTTCCTACCAACTTTGTCCCTTTGTCTTCACATCAGCCCTTTGAGGAGAGAGAGTCAAGCCTGGATATCACGGGTATTGAGGAGTTGTGTCTTGAGGAGAGTGAGCATCATGGTGAGAATTCACCCAAGGTATCCCCACAAGACCTAGCTCTCTACCAAAGTCAGGTTGGGTGTCTCATGTATTCAGCCCTATGCACAAGGCCCGACCTAGCATTCACGGTATCCAAAGTGCGCTCAACACATGAGTGCCTCATCACCTATCCATATGCATGCAGCCAAGCGAGCTCTTCGGTATCTCAAAGGTACTTCTAATCATGGTCTTCTCTTCCAAGCCAGCCCACATGCAAGCTCCCTCCAAGGCTTTACATGTCGTAGGCTTCCCCAGTTCGAGTGGGCCCAGTGTGACTGGAAGGCTACCGAAAAGGGCCAAGGTGTCTTGAAATATGGATGTCTCGGAATATACATGGTCGGTTTAGCCTACTCTGACACCACGGACATAGAGCGTAGGTCGTCTCGCACACGTGGAGCTTCTTGTCGCAGAACCCAGAGCACTTGTCGCAGAACTGGAGCGCTTGTCGCAGGACATAGAGCGCTTGTCGCAGAAAGTAGACCGCTTGTCGCAGAACGTAGAGAGCTTGTCGCAAAACGTAGAGCTCTTGTCGCAGAGCGTAGAGCGCTTGTCGCAGAACGTAGAGCGCAGGCCAGAGGACATTGAGGCACAAACGAGATGTTTGCGAAAGGTGTAACCATTTGAGCTACCCGAAACCCTAGCCCGTTGCTCAATTCCAGACAATACGTCCTTACTGAACGCTTACATTACTTTCAGGCGTTACTTGCGGCATTTTCAAGCAATGTCCTAACTGAACGCTTTCGATGATTGTAGACAATGCGTCCTTACTGAACGCTAGCGGTATCTGCAGGGAATGCGTCCTTATTAAACGCGTTCCAGGCCTTTTAGTTCTTTAATAACGCTTGCGGTATTTTCTGTCTGAGACATTCACGGACCGACTTTCTTAATTTACGACCGGCTGAACCTGGCACTAATTCTGGGTACGTCCGTCCTTTTTTAGGTCCCTGGATATTCGTCTTATTTCTCGCTAATGAAAATGTCACCTGTAACGCACACAGCCAGTAACACGCACAGCCTGCAAGACACACCGGCAGTACTGCGCACAGACAGTAACGCGCACAGTTAGCAATGCGCACAAACAGTAACGCACACAGACATTAACGCACACGGCCAGTGACGCACACAGCCAGTAACGTGCACAGCCAATAGCGCACACAGACTACAAGGCTCTCAGGAACACCAATACTAGATTAGTATCACGAGCTACTTGGGCTAGAATTAAGAGTCGATTTCTTTAGGTACCTCAATATCATTGGTTTGAAGTAAGGAGGATGAATCAAGCAGCAGAGGGAGGAGGAGGGGGCGATGGAGGGGGAGGAGGGGGAGGGGAAAGAGGAGAGGGTGGTGGAGGAGGAAGTGGAGGAGGAGGAGGGGGTGGAGGAGACATCGTTGGTATGGTTACAAAGGCTGTAAATCTGGGGGCAATGGGAAAGGAGGATCTGATTCGCGTGCATGACCTAATCAGCAAGGCCTTGCATGGCCACACTGGAGCAGCTGCGGCCTCTACAGGCGCTACAGCCGTTGACGGAGCGGTAGCAGCTACAGCGGTTTCAGGTGCAGCAGCCGCTACAGGAATTAGAACAGGATCTGCGGCTTCTATAAGTGCTGCTGCTGCTGCTGCTACAGGATCTGCAGCTACTACAGGAGCTGTAGCAGCTACAGCAGGCACAACTGTAACAGGTGCAGCAGCCGCTACAAGAACCAGAACAGGAACGGCAGCTCCTACACGTGCTGCAGTTGCTGCTGCTGCTACAGGAGCAGCAGGTACAACTGTTGCGGCAGCCGCGACAGGAACCAGAACAGGAACCGCAGCTCCTACACGTGCTGCTGCTACAGGATCTAGAGCTGCAACAGCAGGCACAGCTGTTACGGGTGCAGCAGCCGCTACAGGAACCAGAACAGGAACCGCAGCTTCTACACGTGCTGCTGCTGCTGCTGCTGCTGCTACAGGAGCTACAGCTGCAACAGCAGGCACAACTGTTACGGGTGCAGCAGCCGCTACAAGAACCAGAACAGGAATCACAGCTTCTACAAGTGCTGTTGCAGTTGCTGCTGCTGCCACAGGAGCTTCGGCTGTTGCAGCAGCTACAACTTCAACAGCAGCTAGAGTTGCAACCGGAGCTACAAGAGGTACAACTGCTAGAGCTCCAACGTTTTCAGGAACTTCAACTGCTGTAGCCAATGCAGGAGCTGCAGCTGCCACAGGTGCTATAACTGTTACAGGAGCTACAGCTGCCACAGGTGCTATAACTGTTACAGGAGCTACAGCTGCCACAGGTGCTATAACTGTTACAGGAGCTACAGCTGCTGCAGGTTCTATAACTGTTACAGGAGCTACAGCTGCTGCAGGAACTACAGGAACTTCAATTGCCACAACCGGTGCAGGAGCTACAGTTGCTACAGGAGCTACAGCTGTTACAGGAGCTACAACTGCTACAGCCGTTACTGGAGCTGCAGCTGCTACAGGAGCCATAACTGTCGTAGAAACTACAGCATCACCCCTCACTCTCCCCCGTTTCCCTGCTTCTTTCCCGTCCTCTCACCCTCTGACTGTCGTGACAACTGCCCGCCCCTCATCGGTCCCATCCAACATCCCCCCACGCACCGTTCTAGTGCCTATCACTCGTGTGTCCGCACCTTTCACTTTTCCTGCACGCTCTCGCGCTGCCCCTTCTCGTGCCACCCCTACGCCCGCCGCCCCTTCTCCTGCCGCCCCTTCGCCCGCCGCCCCTTCTCCGGCTGCCCCTTCGCCCGCCGCCCCTTCTCCTGCCGCCCCTTCTCCCGCTGCCCCTTCTCGTGCCACCCCTACACCTGCTGCCCCTTCTGCCACCGCCCGTTCTCCTGCCGTCCAAGCCTCCTGTGGTCAACCCACCCACCAAGCCACATGGGCAGGTTCGGCCCTCCAAACGCCTTCTCAACCGATTTTGACCAGCCTAGAAATCCCCACGCCTTCTGTCAATGCATGGCCCTCCTCACACCCCTTGCAACCCTCACACCCCGCACACCCTGCACAATCCTTGCAGCCCTCACAGCCGTTGCAGCCTGTGCCTTGTATTGATAGTCGCCCCTCCTCACACCCCTCACAGCCCCCCGAGCTGCCTTCTCTGCGACAAGACTTGCCTGTCTCTCATTCTCAGTCCAACACCCACTCTTACGAGATCACCCCCCCTCATCCCAGCCCCCCTTATCCCGCTCTCCCTCAACCCACTCCCCCTCGCACCACCCCTACTTCCCCCACGCCCCTTAACTCAAACCCCACCTTCCCCAACCCCCCTCGCCCCAACCCACCTCGCATCGGCTCCCCCCGTCGCCTGGCCTGCGACAGCCCAACCCCCTGGCCCTCCACCAGGCGCTATTTCGGCGTCACCTGGTACCGCAACGCGTGGCAGGTGTTTCTCACGGCAACCAAGGCGGAGCAGCAGCAGTTTGGCGTGAGCACGCAGTGGTACTGCGGCCGCTGGCCTAAGAATCAGGTGGAGGACGCAGCAGCAGCCGCGGAAGCAGCGCATTTTGTGCTCAAAGGGGGGGGAGCGGGTGGGGGAGCGGGAGCAGGAGGAGGAGCAGAAACGGGAGGGGAAGCAGGGAGGGGGGGGAAGAGCGGGACGGAGCGAGTGTATTACTTTCTTTCGGGAAGAGATAAAGAGCGGTTGATAGAGATGGGGAAAGCGAAAGCAGCAGAGCTGATAAAGAAGAAGCGGTGGGTGATATGGCAGCAGTGGCGTACCTGGTGGGGCGAGGAGCAGGAATTGCACGCAACTGCTACCGCTGCTGCAGGGTTATCCCTAGGTTCAGCGTCCAAGTCTGTCCGTGAGGCAAATGCGGCTGGTATCCCTGTTAAAGCCCTCGCTCTCGCCTCCCGGTTCCGTGTTTCTTCACCTGGCCGTGCTTCTCGGGCTGCTTCGCGCCGCCCTGCCCGGGCAGCCGAGGGGGACGTTGACTGTGTTTCTCCCTCCCACCTTCTCGCTCTCTGCACCCCTTTCGCCACCGCGAATAACGAGGAGGCGGAAGAGTTGCTTGCTCTCTTGAATCTTCCCCCTCGCTCCAGACGTCGTCGCGGTCGCCCCACTACTCGCTCCACTCCCCGCGCTCGCAACACTTCTCGCGCTCGCTCCACCCCTCTCGCGCCCTCTGCTCCTGCCACGCCTGAGCCCGCTCAGAGGGCTGTGTCGGTTGCTCCTGATCCCACTGGTGTTCAGTCACATGAGCTGCAGCAGCAGCAGCAGCAGCAGCAGGAGCAGCAGGGTGGTGAGGAGGAGCGGCAACAGCAACCGGAGGAGGAGGAGTATCAAGTCCCGCAGAAGTATTATGGCGTGTCGTTCCGATACAACAAGTGGGAGATCCGCCTCTACATGTCACCTGCACTCAAGAAGCGGTACGGCTTGGGGGACCAGCTGTACTGCGCGCGGTGGGATAGAGAGCAAGGGGAGGAGGCGGCAGCTGCAGCGGAGGCGATTCATTTCGTGCTGGGGAGAAAGAAGAAGAGGGCGTATGAGTATGTAACGGAGGAGGAGAGAGAGCGGTTGAGAGAGATGGGGATGGATCGGGCGATGAAGCTGATCATGCAGGGGAAGTGGAAGACATGGCGGGAGTGGCGGCCGGGGCAGGAGGGGGAGGAGATGGAAGAGGAGGGGGGGGGGAGGGGGGAGGAGGAAGGGGAGGAGGAGGTGGAGGAGGAGAAGAGGTGGGTGGTGAGGGGATGGAGATGGTAGAGTCGGGAGGTGGGGACGGTGGAGCGGGGGGAGTGGGTGGGGTAGGAGGTTTTTCGAGGCCGAAGAGGAAAAGAGCTCCACGGAGGGTTGTGAGGGAGAGGAGGGATGATGCTGAATCAGGGGGGGAGTGTGGTGAGGGGGAGATGGGGAGTGCGAGGGGAGGAGGGAGTGGAGGGAGAGGAGGGAGGGGGGGGAGAGGAGGGAGGGGAGGGAGAGGAGGCGGGGCAGGGAGAGGACAGGGAAGAGGAAGAGGAGGAGTGATGGGAGGAGGGGGGGCGCAAATGGCTGGCAGCACTGCTGTGCCCGGGGGTGAGGAGGGGATGGTGTTTGAAATGGGGGAGGAGAGATGGAGTGCGAGGGGGTTCACATGGGAAGAGGGGCACGGTGGGGTGTGCAGGGGGGGAGGTGCGAGGGGCAGAGGAGGAGGAGGGTGGGAGGAGGAAGGGGAGATGGATGAAGATACAGAGGAGGGGGAGGTCGAGGGCGAGGAGGGTGGGGATGGGTGGGAGGAGGGAGCGTGGGATGAGGAGGCGTGGGAGGAGGAGCTGTATAATGCGTACCGCTTGAGAGAGATGCTCGGAGGGCTTATGTGATGAGTGATGAGCATAATTGTGTGATGAGTTGATGTGGTAGTGGGTATCATGCGCTTTCGGGGTCTGTTTTTGAGGCGCCTAGTAGTGGGGGTGGGGGGTATCATGCGCACACATGAGGGGAGGAAGCAACGAGTCATCTTATTATGCACCTGATAGGAGAGGAATGGATGGGATGTGGATGAATGGAAGAGGTACTACTCGTACCGCTGAGGTGTCTTTTGTGTCGACTCAAAAGTTGATGAGGTAGTGGGTAATATACGCTTGGGGGTAGGAAGCGATGAGTCGTCTAGTATGCAGCTGATGGGAGATGGATGGGGTGTGGACGAATGGAGAGGTACTACTCGTACCACATGAGACTAGTGGTTGTAGGGCTGATTTGTAAGTCACGGGCAGTGAGACAGGAAAGGGAGGAGGAGGAGGAGGAGGAGGAGGAGGAGGAGGAGGAGGAGGAGGAGGAGGAGGAGGAGGAGGAGGAGGAGGAGGAGGAGGAGGAGGAGGAGGAGGAGGAGGAGGAGGAGGAGGAGGAAGGGGGGAGGGGGGGAGGAGGAGGAGGAGGAGGAGGAGGAGGAGGAGGAGGAGGAGGAGGAGGAGGAGGAGGAGGAGGAGGAGGAGGAGGAGGAGGAGGAGGAGGAGGAGGAGGAGGAGGAGGGGGAGAGGCTGGGAGGAGGGAGGAGGATGGGAGGACGACGGAGGTGATTGGGGGGAGGAAGAGATGGTGGACAAAACAGGGTCGGAGGAGGAGGGATATGATGAAGAGGGGAGGGTGGATGGATGGGAGGCGGAAATGGAATGGAAGCTAGTCGATTCGAGGGAGAATGTGCAGGAGAAGAGAATAATACATTTTCAGACAGCCGTGGGGGGGCGATTCTAGTGAGATGGCACCATGGGCGTCCTCTTAGGCCAGGAAAATCTGGCTTCTGAGTCTTCATTAAAGAGGCTGCCTATAGTGGAGATATAAACAGCCTCTTGCTAGGTCAGGAAAATCTCACTATTGAGTCGACACAGGCGTTCCATTGAGAAAGTGCACACAGGGGACGAATTCTTGGGCGGGGAATGTTAAAAGGTTGACTGGAGGTTGTGTGGGAGAGGAGAGAGGAGAGGAGAGAGTGAAGGTGCCAGGGGCAGGAGAGGGTGAGGAGAGAGGGTGGGGGGTAGGATAAAAGGGAGTAATTTATAGGGGGGAGGAGAGCGAGAAGGGTGGGTGGCTGGGCTGGGGAGGAAGCAAGGCATAGAGATGAGGACCGAATCGGCTCATGCTCACGGATAGTGGTAACGAGAACTGCTTGCTTAGGGTGCATTCCTGGTTCGTGGCAGGGCCACTGTAGCAGGCACTGTTGGTGGCATGCGGGAAAACCGCATGCCACCAACATTTTGCCCGAGTCGCGCGCGACACGATTTTGGTGGAATTGACATGACATTTTTGGGACATTGCCCAATCACGCACCTGTATTTGCGCGCCAAAATTCCTGACACCAACCTGGCGTTTTATGTGTTCGTGGCAGGCTGCCATCTACAGTGGCCCTGCCACGAGCCAGGAATGCACCCTTATTGGTTTGGTGATGGGACGTTAGTCGTGTCGTGTTGCTACATGCTCACATATTTGCTCTAGGTCTTTGATCTTTCTTACTGCAGGGTGGGGCTCTCTTTGCCACTAGACATGGCATTAACGCTACCTTGTGTAAAACTAGAATGCTACTTGTGTTGTGTAGGCTGTAATGGGGTAGCCTATATGGGGTACAACCTAATTAGGGCTATACTTGAATTCAATTTGATGTCAATGCAATCATTCCTGCTCATTAGTTTCTGACATGGTTTCAGAGCAGTAGGTTCGTAGGACTGTTTTTTTTTTTCGGGCCCACCATTACCTAGTGACCGACTGCGGTTACCACGTTACCCCACGCCCTGCCCTGCGCTGCGCCTATAGCGCGCGCCCTGCCCTGCCCTACCTTGCGTCGCGCTGCCCAGCGCACGCCGTGCCCTGCCTTGCGTCGTGCTACCCCGCGCACGCCCTGCCCTGCCTTGCATTGCGCTGCCCCGCGCACACCCGCCCTACCCTGCCTTGCGTCGCGCTGCCCCGCGCACGCCCTGCCCTGTCAAAGTATATGCATGCTATATATGTGTAGGCTGTAGTGGGGTAGCCAATATGGGGTACAGCCCCGTATAGGGTTTCGTACTTATACCCTACTCTTCCATAGTGCATTCATTCCTGCTGCTTGATTCTGACATGGTTTCAGAGCGGGGCCTCAGATTCATTTTTAGGGTCGTCGACCCATCAGGGTACCCCTATGTAGAAACCCTGATTGACAGTGTTCCTAAAAAAAAAAGCCTGAAATATCAGTGTTGCCTTTGAAAAAAGGCTGATGCATCAGTGTTCAATAATATAAAAGGCTGTTATTACTAGAAATCTCTATTTTAATTAATAGGTCAGTAGCGGCCTTCCGAAACATTGCTAAGCTAACATGCCTCATGAATCATCACCAGCCATGCTATCATCACTGCCCTTAGCCTTTGGTTTTTCTCTCTCATCCTCAGCTTGGGACACCAGTACGTGACAGTGCTTTGCTGCAGCACACACCCCGTCTTCACTTCTGCTTGCGACACATACACGTTGAAGCTGCAGGGGCAGGGTTTGGGGGAGGAACCTGATTGACAGGCAGGGTGAGGCAGGGAAAGAGAGAACAGGCTGGAGAGAGGAGGGAAGACTGGCATGGTTGGGGGGGGAACGACCGGGGGAGACAGGGAGTGGACGGAGTGCGGGGTAAAGGGAGCGGGGGAATGGACGGTGGGCGCGCGGGTCATGCCGTCGCGCAGCACGACGCTATGCGCGCCGCACGCGACGCAGATGGCCTTTCAACCGCGGTTCGTGCTGGCGACGAGGCAGCCTTCGGTCGTCGCCATTAGCACGAAAAACCACGCGTCGTCGAGTCGTAGCGGGCCTGCGACGCCGACGGGCATCTCGCAGGCCCGCTACGATTCGACGACGCATGCGCTGCAGATCGCGTCGAACGGGAGCGATGTGTTCGGCGAGACTAGAGGAGGTTCGGCGGCGCTCGCGATGGGTTCGATTCCAGACAGCCCGCCGTTTCTGGTGCTGGTGGCGCCATGTAATAGTGCAGACGAGAAAGCACGAGAGGAATCTGGCTGAGAGGGAGGGAGAGAGAAACAGGAGGAAAAGAAACAAGAGAGATTAGATTGGAGGGAACGGGACCATCAGAGCTCGCCAGCACAGTCAACGGTGCAGGAACCCTCGCAGCCCTCCAGCACCACATGGTTGCCACATTTTGATTAGCCAACGCTTATGCTGCAGCGAAACTGCCCAATGGAGTGCTGGCACCGCAGGAATTTGAGATTCCCGGTAATTGCGGGCAAATTCACACGGAACAAGTCAGAATTGCATTCAGTGGTAGTTTCATTACAACGTTGTGGAATCAGTGTACTTGGGAAAAAAGTCTGAAATTTCAGTGTGGCCTAACAAAAAAGGCTAAAAGATCAGTCCCACAAAAATCCCAACACTGATTTTTCAGTGTAGGTAAAAAAACGACTGCCAAAATCAGGAATTTCAGGGTTTTTTTCCTGATATCTGAGGCCCTGACTAGGTCCGTAGGACCGTCCTTTTTTTTTCGGGCCCACCTACCGTTGCGGTTACCACGCTACCCCACGTGTTGTCCTGCGCCTGCCTGCCTGCCTTGCCTTGTGACGTGCTGCGCTGCGCGCGCCATCCTGCAGCCCTCGCGTTGCCTCCTGCTGCCCTAGGCCAGCGCGCCGCCCTCCAGGCCCGTAAGGCCCGTGCGACGCCCCTGCAGGCCCGTCAGGCCCGCGAGCCGCCCCTGCAGGCCCGTCAGGCCAGAGCGCCGCCCCGCCAGGTCGCTGACGCGGCCCCGTCCTGCCGCTGACGCGGCCCCGCCTTGCCGCGGTTGCGGCCCCGCCCTGCTGCCGGCGCGGCCCCGCCCTGCCGTGGTAGCGGCCCCGCCCTGCCGTCGACGCGGCCCCGCCAGGTCACTGTCGCGGCCCGCCCTGCCACTGCCGCGGCCCCGCCCTGCCTCTGACGCGGCCACGCCCTGCCGCCGACGCGGCCCCGCTAGGTCGCTGTCGCGGCCCGCCCTGCCACTGCCGCGGCCCCGCCCTGCCTCTGACGCGGCCGCGCCCTGCCGTCGTCGCGGCCCTGCCAGGTCGCTGTCGCGGCCCGCCCTGCCACTGCCGCGGCCCCGCCCTGCCTCTGACGCGGCCACGCCCTGCCGCCGACGCGGCCCCGCTAGGTCGCTGCCGCGGCCCCGCCCTGCCTCTGACGCGGCCGCGCCCTGCCGTCGACGCGGCCCCGCCAAGTCGCTGTCGCGGCCCGCCCTGCCACTGCCGCGGCCTCGCCCTGCCACTGCCGCGGCCCCGCCCTGCCTCTGACGCGGCCGCGCCCTGCCGCCGACGCGGCCCTGCCCTGCCTCTGACGCGGCCGCGCCCTACCGCCAACGCGGCCCCGCCCTGCCTCTGACGCGGCCGCGCCCTACCGCCGACGCGGCCCCGCCTGCGCGCTGCCCCCCGTCGCCCGTCGCGGCGCCTGTGGGACCCGCGCGCTGTCCTGCAGTAGCCGCCCCTAGTGCAGCCGCCCCTGGACCCTCGAGCAGCCGCCCCTGGACCCACAGCTGCCGCCCCTGGCCCCTGAAGCAGCCGCCCCTGGTGCAGCCGCCCTTGGACTCCGTGCAGCCGCCCCTGGAGCCGCGACGTCGCCCCTGGAGCCGCGACGTCGCCCCTGGACCCCGTGCAGCCGCCCCTACCTCACCTCGCGCCTACCTTCAAGCAGCCGCCTCCGCAGCAGCCGCCCCTGGCCCCTGGAGCAGCCGCCCCTACAGCAGCTGCCCCTGGCCCCTGGGGCAGCCGCCACTGCAGCAGCCGCCCCTGGCCCTACTCTGCAGCCGCTGTTGCGGCCCCGCCGTCGCTGCCGTCGTGCGCCTACCCTGCCGGCGCCCGCCGAACGCCGGCCGTGCTCGCCCGGCGAGCGCCTGCCCTTCCCACCACTGGTGAGCACCTGCCTTGTTCGCGAGCTGCCGCGCCATCTGCCTGCCTGCCTGCCTGACTGCCTGCCGGCCTGACTGCTTGCCTGCCTGCCTGCCTGCCTGCCGCGCCTACCCTACCCGCGCTGCTACTGCTGCTACTACTGCTACTGCTGCTACTTCTGTTACTGCTGCTAGGCTGCTGCTGCTGCTACTGCTGCTACTACTGCTATTGCTGCTACTGGCGGTGGCCAGATGCAGCTCCAGTAACGTTCGCGCGAGTCTCTCACACCCCTGCAGCTTCGAGAGTGGTACGCTAGTTGGGGTTGTGGCGGCAGCCGTCGTGGCGGTCGCCCTGGAGTTGGTCAGTCGGTAGCGTCTGGCAGTGGCCAGCTGCACCTGCAGCGGCGTCCGCGTGAGACACTTACGCCCCAGCAGCTTCATGAGCGGTACGCTCATAGTAGAGGGTCTTTGAGTACCGTTTGCTGCCCGTACATCATTCGCACAGGTGATTGGGCTGGTCAGGCTTGTGGGACGCTTGGTCACACACAGTCCCGCTGCTTCGCCCGTCTGAGCGACGCCTGGCGTACCGAGTTTGGCGACGAGGCTGAGCTCCTCACCTGGCTGGAGCTGCTTAGGAAGGGGATAGATATATTTGCTCTTGACTATGATGCTATTCTCACTGCCATGTATGCATTGCCTACTAGTGCTGACCGTGCCAGTTACCTGAGCGTACCGCCTGACCCAGGTATAGAGCATGCTGCTCTAGGTGCTCGTGCGTCTCCTGCTCTAGGTGCTGGTGAGGCTGCTGCTCTAGG